GGCCGAGGCAGTGAATCACTTGAGATCAGGAGTTTGAGACAAGCCTAGCCAACATGGTGAAACCCTGTCTCTACTAAAAATATAAAAAATTAGCCAGGCGTTGTGGCAGGTTCCTGTAATCCCAGCTATTCCGGAGGCTGAGGCAGCAGAATGCCTTGAACCGGGAAGTGGAGGTCGCAGTGAGCCGAGATCACGCCACTGCACTATAGCCTTTTTTTTTTTTTTTTTTTTTTTTTTTTTTTTGAGACGGAGTTTCGCTCTTGTTACCCAGGCTGGAGTGCAATGGCGCGATCTCGGCTCACCGCAACCTCCGTCTCCTGGGTTCAGGCAATTCTCCTGCCTCAGCCTCCTGAGTAGCTGGGATTACAGGCACGCCCCACCATGCCCAGCTAATTTTTTGTATTTTTAATAGAGATGGAGTTTCACCATGTTGACCAGGATGGTCTTGATCTCTTGACCTTGTGATCCGCCCGCCTCGGCCTCCCAAAGTGCTGGAATTACAGGCTTGAGCCACCGCGCCCGGCTGCACTCTAGCCTTCTAATCTGGACGACAGAACAAGACTCTGTCTCAAAAAAAAAAAAAAAAAAAATCCTTTTACCCTCTGTACTTTTCTGTTTTCTGTTTAGCTGATTTCTACTTTAATCTTCATAATTTCCTTCTTTCTTGCTACTTTGTTTGTATTTTTTGAGATGGAATCTCACTCTGTTCCCCAGGCTGGGGTTCAGTGGCAAGAACCACCTTTTGGGTTCAAGCAATTCTGTCTGCCTCAGCCTCCCAAGTTGCTGGGATTACAGGCGTCTGCCACCATGCTTGGCTAATTTCTCTATTTTTTAATAGAGACAGGGTTTCACTGTGTTGGGCATGCTGCTTTTGAACTCCTGACCTCAGGCCATCCACCCGCCTCGGCCTCCCAGAGTACTAGGATTATAGGCATGAGGCACTGTGCCCAGTCGCCTTTTGGTTTAATTTGCTCTTGTCTAATTTTCCAGCTTAGATTATTGATTTTATGCCTCTTTCCTAATATAAGTATTTGAAATTATGAATTTTTCTCTAAGCACTTTTTTTTTTGAGATGGAGTTTCACTCTTGTTACCAAGGCTGGAGTGCAATGGCACGATCTCGGCTCACCGCAACCTCCCTCTCCTGGGTTCAAGCAGTTCTCCTGCTTCAGCCTCCTGAGTAGCTGGGATTACAGGCATGTGCCACCATGCCCAGCTAATTTTTTGTATTTTTAGTAGAGACGGGGTTTCACCGTGTTGACCAGGATGGTCTGGATCTCTTGACCTCGTGATCCACCCGCCTCGGCCTCCCAAAGTGCTGGGATTACAGGTGTGAGCCACCGCGCCCCGCCTTCTAAGAAATTTTTTAGCATCATCACGTAAATATTGATATGTTGTGTTTTTGTTTTTGTTTTCAGCTCATCAGTAGTTTCTAATTTCCCTTGTGGTACATCATTTGACTTTTATTGATTGATTGATTGATGGAGTCTTGCTCTGTCTCCAGCCTGGAGTGCAGTGGCGCAGTCTCAGCTCATTGCAACCTCCACCTCCTGGGTTCAAGCGTTTCTTCTGCCTCAGCCTCCCGAGTAGCTGGGACCACAGGCACGTGACACCATGCCCCAGCTGATTTTTGTATTTTTAGTAGAGACAGGGTTTCACCATGTTGGCCACGATGGTCTCTATCTCTTGACCTTGTGATCTGCCCACTTTGGCCTCCCAGAGTGATGAGATTACAGGCGTGAGCCATGCGCCAGGCTGACCTTTGTTATTTATAAGTATGCTGTTTAATTATCAAATATTTGGATTTTACTAAATTACTTTCTGTTGCTGATTTTTTTTTTCAATTTTTTTAAAAAAATTGCATTTTAGGTTTTGGGGTATATGTGAAGAACATGCAAGATTGTTGCATAGGTACACATATGCAGTGTGATGTGCTGCCTTCCTCCCCATCACCTATATCTGGCGTTTCTCCACATGCTGTGTCTCTCCAACTCCCCACCCCCCGCTGTTCCTCCCCTATTTCCCCCCTACAGACCCCAATGTGTGATGCTCCCTTCCCTGTGTCCATGTGTTCTCATTGTTCAACACCCGCCTATGAGTGAGAACATGCAGTGTTTGATTTTCTGTTCTTGTGTCAGTTTGCTGAGAATGTTGGTTTCCAGGTTCATCCATGTCCCTACAAAGGACACGAACTCATCGTTTTCGATGGCTGCATAGTATTCCATGGTGTGTATGTGCCACATTTTCCCTGTCCAGTCTGTCATCAATGGGCATTTGAGTTGATTCCAGGTCTTTGGTATTGTAAACAGTGCTGCAGTGAACATTCATGTGCATGTGTCCTTATAGTAGAATGATTTATAATCCTTTGGCTATATACCCAATAATGGGATTTCTGGGTCAAATGGAATTTCTATTTCCAGGTCCTTGAGGAATTGCCACACTGTCTTCCACAATGGTTGAACTAATTTACACTCCCACCAACAGTGTCAAAGTGTTCCTATTTCTCCACATCCTCTCCAGTATCTGTTGTCTCCAGATGTAAAGATGTCTCCATCTTTTTTACATCCTTTGTTAGTTGTATTCCCATTTTTTAATGATCGCCATTCTAACTGATGTGAGATGGTATCTCAATGTAGTTTTGATTTGCATTTCTCTAAAGACCAGTGATGATGAGCATTTTTTCATATGTTTGTTACCCTCACGTATGTCGCGTTTTGTAAAGTGTCTGTTCATGTCCTTTGCCTACTTTTGAATGGGCTTGTTTGTTTTTTTCTTGTAAATCTGTTTTAGTTCTTTGTAGATTCTGGATGTCAGCCCTTTGTCAGATAGGTAGATGGCAAAATTTTTTCCCATTCTGTTGGTTGCCGATTCACTGTAATGACTGTTTCTTTGGTCATGCAGAAGCTGTGGAGTTTGATTAGGTCCCATTTGTCTATTTAGGCTTTTGTTGCTTGTTGCCAATGCTTTTGGTGTTTTGGTCATGAAGTCCTTGCCTACGCCTGTGTCCTGAATGGTTTTGCCTAGGTCTTCTAGGGTTTTGATGGTGTTAGGTCTTAAGTTTAAGTCTTTAATTCATCTGGAGTTAATTTTAGTGTAAGGTGTCAGGAAGGGGTCCAGTTTCTGCTTTCCGCACGTGGCTAGCCAGTTTTCCCAACACCATTTATTAAACAGGGACTCTTTCCCCATTGCTTGTTTTTGTCATGTTTGTCAATGATTGGATGGTTGTAGATGTGTGGTGTTGCCTCTGAGGCCTCTGTTCTGTTCCATTGGTCTATATCTCTGCTTTGGTACCAGTACCATGCTGTTTTGATTACTGTAGCCTTGTAGTATAGTTTGAAGTCCAGTAGTGTGATGCCCCCTGCTTTGTTTGTTTGTTTGTTTGCTTGCTTGCTTAGAATTGCCTTGGCTATGTGGGTTCTCTTTTGGTTCCATATGAAGTTTAAGGTGGTTTTTTCCAGTTCTGTGAAGGTCATTGGTAGCTTGATGGGAACAGCATTGAATCTGTAAATTATTTTAGGCAGTATGGTCATTCATGATATTGATTCTTCCTAACCATGAACATGGAATGTTTCTCCATCTGTTTGTGTCCTCTCTTATTTTGTTGAGCAGTGGTTTGTAGTTCTCCTTGAAGAGGTTTTTTACATCCTTTGTTAGTTGTATTCCCAGTTAATTTATTCTCTTTGTAGCAATTGTGAATGGCAGCTCGTTCTTGATGTGGCTCTCATTAAGTCTGTTATTGGTGTGTAGGAATGCTTGTGAGTTTTGCACATTGATTTTGTATCCTGAGACTTTGCTGAAGTTGCTTATCAGTTTCAGGAGATTTTGGAAAGAGAATGAACCCCATTGATTTCATTTTGAGTTTTTAGTTATTCTGTAAATTGAGATTTTATTTCACTATTTTTGTTTAAATGAATATGGATTATAAAGAAATGGTCATCTGCCCCATTAGCCTTGATGATCTTGATCAAAACTAAAATAATGCATGTGGGTAACAGACCTAAGGTATAGATAGGGGGAAAGAGATAAATGGTGGAAAAGGTACTGTTGCCACTAAAAGTAGTTTGTCTATTCTAGTTCTGTAGCTATACACTTATTTAAATATTTACAGTGAAACAACATTTTATATTATTGCATTAACTTGATTAATGTAAATGTGAAATTTTTAACTTTTTATTGAAACTTTTCACTATCTAGACATACAGTATCAAAACCTAATTTTGTTTGCTTCATAAATTCCACTTAGTGTCTTAATTTGAAAGTCACCCTGGTTAGAAATCAATAACTATGTGCATTTTTCACATGGAGTCACGCTTGAAGTAAATTAATAACAACTGACATAATCTGGACTAATCTGAGAAAAAAAAAAGTAGAAAATATATGTACATGCCTCCATATTTTCTGTTCACCTTTTCCCTTCTGTATACCTTCCCTATTAGCTTACAAAATGCTGTCTCCTGATTCTTTTCTGAAACTGAAGCAATTTCGTAATTGATTCACATTTAGTTATTTAGGGTTTAAAGTTTTGCTTTTCTCCATCACATTGTCATTTGAAAAGAGGACTACAAATTGGATACTGCTTAACTAAAAGGAATGAGTCCCTAATTGGTAGATGTTTGTATATATGGTGGTAAGGGAAATAGGTTCAGAGCAAGAAATTTAGTTCCTCCTTCTGCTTCCTAGCTAGAGTTAATAATACAGCTATATTAGGGAGTTAGTCAAGTACTGTTGAAAACAGAATAAACAGAAAGACAGGTGTTTTCTCTTAGTCTTAGTAAGACATACTTTAGGAATGCCTCATTTGGGTTCACTTAGTAGTTGAAATTTGGATTTATGTTGATTGATTTACTATAATTTTCTGTGCGGTAATTAATATGGGTGATTTAAAATATGCTTCATCACTTTTACTCCCTTCTCCGTAATTTAAATCTATCCAAAAGGATCTCTGTTTTATAACCTTGTGTTTAATAAGGAGTTTTTTTGTTTTTTGTTGTCTTCTTCTAGGCTGTATTCATCACCAAAGAAAAAACTTACACCAATGCAGAAATCGGTTAGTCCATTAGTTTGGTGCAGGCAAGTTTTGGATTACCCAAGTCCTGATGTTGAGTGTGCTAAAAAGTCTCTTATCCACAAACTTGATCAAACTATGTCAGGTATGTCTATAATTTTACTTGTAAATTCATCTCTTTACTTTCTTTAGTCAAAAACAATAAATGTTGAGCCATGTGTTGTTAGGAAGCAATTCTTTGCTTGGAGCGTTTTTCAAATCTCATTGCATACCATCATGAGAGTTTTTCCCATGTGCACATAACCCTGTTCTATCATTTAATAGCTTTTTAAAAAATATTGTTTTTATTTAGCGTCATCCCAAAGAATGATATCCAAGAAATAATGAATTTTACATGATAAACTTTTTTCTAAGACAAGTTAAATAACTATTAAAATGTAAAATGTCTAGTATATAAAGTCATCTCACATTCCACTCTTTGGAGAAACTGATGCAGTAGAAGGATAAAAGCGGTGAACAACAGAGACCTTGTTCTCACTCTAACCCTTAATTGCTCTGTCACTGCATTATTTAACTTCTGTGAGCTCAGTTATCTCATAAGAATAATGAATCTTGAAAGGTAATTTTAAGAGTTGTTACATGAAAGACCCTAGCATGTTTTCTGGCTAACTGTAAGTGCTGAGTGAATATATTTATTTCCCTCATTATGTTTTTCTATTTGGCATTTTAGGTTTAAATTGCTCTTATGCTCTTTTGTTTAATAGCAGTCACAAAGCTGACAAAATGTGTGTGGCTATTTATGACATTTAATGTAGCATGCCAGTGTGGGTAGAAATGTAGGAAAAATAATGTTGACTTCTTGCATTTCTCTCGATCTGTTTTATGACTCTTACTGTTTTATGAAATGCTCAGATAGTAAAGGATAGATGCATGATTAGTTTTGTTTTTGTTTTTCTGCTTTATATTTACTTGGCAGCTATATACTTAAAATTACTTATTTTGGCTTTATTATAGAAAACAGTATGTGCTTTGTGGTTAGATTATAAGCTGAAAATGAACAGAGGAAGCAGAGGGGAGACTAGCTGAACAGTTAATGGCATACAGTAAGGTGAAGTTATTTGGCTGTAAGGGGTAGTGGTTATTATATGCAAATAACTTACGGGATGTTATTACACAGCTTCTGAATCTGGGTCAGTTTTGACACTAAAGTATTACTTTTCCTCCATGAAAAGAAACCCTTTTGTTTGTTTTGTTTTTGTTTTTGAGATAGAGTCTTGCTCCGTCACCTGGGCTGGTGCGATGTTGGCTCACCACAACCTCCACCTCCCAGGTTCAAGCAATTCTACTGTCTCAGCCTTCTGAGTAGCTGGGACTGCAGGAACCCACCACCGTACCCAGGTAATTTTTGTATTTTTAGTAGAGACAGGGTTTCACCATGTTGGCCAGGCTGGTCTCAAACTCCTGATCTCAGGTGATCTGCTTGCCTCAGCCTCCCAGAGTGCTGGAATTACCGGTGTGAGCCACCGTACCTGGCCAAAGGAGCCTTTTTGAAAAAGCAATATCCTTTATGTGATTTAAAAAAATGTTTAGTATGACTATCAGCTTGTTTGTTTGAATTATACCCTGAAGCTTGATTTGTTATATTTATAAGAGATAATTAGAAATATGTAGACAAGCTGGTAGAACATTTAAAATAACTGCAAATTTTCTGACCGATTTCTGACATTAATGTACTTAATGTCACAGAACATTAAGTGTAGAAACCGTCTGACGTGTATTGAGAAATATTCCTACAGAAGGAGCATGATTGAAAGAAAAAAGAAGAATATTCCTAGAGGGCTGGGTGTGGTGGCTCACACCTGTAATCCCAGCACTTTGGGCGAGCTCAGGAGTTCAGGACCAGCCTGGGCAACACAATGAAAACTTGCCTCTACAAAATATATTTAAAAAATAGCCAGGCAAGCTGGGCACAGTGGCTCACGCCTGTAATCCCAGCACTTTGGGAGGCTGAGGTGGGTGGATCACGAGGTCAAGAGATCGAGACCATCCTGGTCAACATGGTGAAACCCCGTCTCTACTAAAAATACAAAAAATTGGCTGGGTGTGGTGCCACACACCTGTAATCCCATCTACTCAGGAGGCTGAGGCAGGAGAATTGCTTGAACCCAGGAGACGGAGGTTGCGGTGAGCCGAGATCGCACCGTTGCACTCCAGCCTGGGTAACAAGAATGAAACTCCGTCTCAAAAATAAAATAAATAAATAAATAGCCAGGCATGGTGGTGTGTGCCTGTGGTCCCAGCTATTCAGGAGACTGGGGCAGGAGGATCCCTTGAGCCCAGGAAGTTGAGGTTGCAGTGAGCCGTGTTTGCACCACTGCATTCCAGCTTGGGTGACAGAGCAAGACCCTGTTGCCAAAAAAAAGCATCCCTAGAAACTGCTTTTCAGTACTCCACCTTAAAAATAATATCATTCATGATTTAATTAGGAATTTTGGTCATTCAACAATATATGTTAGGAATCTGCTGTAATAGGCATTGTTCTCAGCTCTGAAGATATGGCAATGAATATAATAGACCAAAAAATGACTTACTTTTCGGAGCTTATATTCTTATCAGAGGAGTCACATAGTAAACAAATAAATAAAACTCTGGCAAACTTTTTCTGCAAAGAGCCAGATAACAATTTTAGTCTTTGTTGCCCGTAAGATCTCTGTTGCAGTTACTCAGCTTTGCACTTGTAACATGCAAGCAGCCATTGACAATACATAAATGAGCGGGCATGGCTGTGTTCCAGTAAAACTACTTAGAGAAACAGGTAGTGGACTAGATTTGGCCTGAAGGCTGTGTGTGTATATATATATATTTTTTTTACCAACCCCTGGTTTAAAACGTCCTAAGGAGTACGAATTATTAGCAATTGGGACTAGCAGCTTGGACTTGAGGGATAAAAGCAGAGCTGCTGCACCTCAAAAATAGCAATTTTGAGCAAGTGGCTTTTTGCCTTATTGTAAGGAAGGTATTAGTAGGAGTGTGTAAGAAAGGCAGTTACTCTTGAACCATAACTAGGTGTAATTAAGTACTGCATCTGTTTAAGATTGTTTAAATTTTATAGCTGTATTCATAGAACAATAGCTACAACTATAAATACAGTGTATATTTGAAATACAAATATGTTTAAAATTTTTTAAGGAAAAAAAATTTGGCTTTTACAAGTTTGAACTTTGTAGTTGTAAATTCCCCCATTTCCCAGGGAGATTGTTTTTTAAAAAATACACCTTTTTGGAGCTGAAGTACTACAGTGCAGCAGAACATTTTCTACTCCTTCACACTCAGCTTCTCTGCAGTGCACTACCACTCATTCATAAAATTTTCTTCACTTCTTACGATACTGTATTGTCTTAATTAACCCTCATTTACCCTCCCTGCTCTTTTCTTTTCAGTCTTCTTTGAAGGTTCTTCCTTTTCTGCCCATTTTAAAAATTGTCATAAAATTATATAATACAGATTTACCCATTTTCACCCTTTAAAAATATATGGTTCTGTCACATTAAGTACATTCATGTTACTGTGCAGCTGTCACTACCATATTCAGATGAACAGAACTTTTAATCATCCTATACTAAACTAAACTTTTTCATCATCACATACTGAAATTCTGTACTCATGTTAACTAATAACTTCCCATTCCCTTTGCTTCCTCTCTGCCTGTCTTTTAAGTTTAGGTTGCCCCACGTCTCTCTTTTGCCTCATGTCTCCCTGTTTTGGTATTTTCATCTGTTTCTATGGTGTCTAGTATCACCTCTATTGAATCACATTCATTCATGCATATATTCAAATAATTTTTAATGCAAATCTCTTAAGTATCAGGCTTTGGGAAAAGGGTGAAGGTGGGGTACATTATGAAGAAATATGGACACTGTCCTGGTACTCATGGAGTTTTCATCTCATAGGGGAAACATAATACAAATAATCTTTATAACTAGTGACGTATAATAAAAGAATAAAGGTATAGTGCTTTGAGAAATAGGAATTTTCCCTTATGAAATGATGTTTGACCTGAAACCTAAAGATTGAGAACAATTGGAGAGAGATCCAAGATGGCTGATCACTAGCAGCTCGGGATTGTAGCTCCCAGTGAAAGCACAAAGAATGAGAGGACGCCACACCTTCACATGAATTCTTGTTGCTCACGCACCAGGAGGTTCCCAGCGGAGGAGCCCCATGGTCGCCAGCGCGACTCCTGTGACCGGCGAGGTGGTTTTGCCGGTGCCTCGAAGCGTCAGTTCTTGATGCAGAGTCAGAAAAGCACCATCAGTCTTAACGCCGCGGTGCAGTGGGTTGCTCAGGTTTCGGCGCTGAGAATCGATAAGTTGGATGTCCACTCAGAAACCCAATTACAAAGACGGTAAATACAAAGACCACATATGGATAAATCTACAACGAAGGGAAGAAAACAGCCAAAAAAGGCTGAGACTACCCAAGATCAGAATGCCTCTCCCTCAGCAGGGGATCACAGTTCCTCATCAGCAACGAAACAAGGCCTGATGGAGAACCAATGTGTTCCAATTACAGAAGCAGGCTTCAAAATGTGGATAATAAGAAACTTCTGTGAATTAAAAGAACTTGTTCAAACCCAATCTAAAGAAACTAAGCACTTTGAAAAAAGGTTTGACGAAATGTTAACAAGAATACACAATTTAGAGAGGAATATAAGTGAATTGATGGAGCTGAAAAACACAGTACGAGAACTATGTGAAGTATGCACGAGTTTTAACAGCCGAATTGATCAAGCAGAAGAAAGGATATCAGAGGTCGAAGACCAACTCAATGAAATAAAACAAGAAGACAAGATTAGAGAAAAAAGGATAAAAAGGAATGAGCAAAGTCTCCAAGAAATATGGGACTATGTGAAAAGACCTAATCTACGCTTGATAGGTGTACCTGAATGTGACGAAGAGAATGAATCCAAGCTGGAAAATATGCTTCAGGACATTATTCAGGAAAATTTTCCCAACTTAGTAAGGCAGGATAATATACAACTCCAGGTAATACAGAGAACACCACAAAGATATTCCTCAAGAAGAGCAACTCCAAGGCACATAATCGTCAGATTCACCAGGGTTGAAATGAAGGAGAAAATACTAA